TAAGCCACACCAGAGATAAAGGGAAACTTACAACAACCTGCTTGTAACACTATAAGACACAAATGAATTCATAGATTCTTTAGAAAAGCTGCTTACTTGCCGAAACGTTGTAACATTGTCAGTTTCACTTTCTAAACATGTTAATATTCTTCTATGAATTCGAAGGATAGTGCTGAACATATTTTCACTAGAAAGTTTTACTTCCACGGCATGCAGCTTGCGAGCGTAAGCAGCTGCATTCTTCACATTATTCATGGATGTGGCTTGCAGAACAAAAGAACGCCAAAGAGCTTGCGATCCCCGGAATTAATATTTCCAGCTGGTGTTAAGATTTTTACAATGCACGCCACAACGCTCAGGGTGTGCCATTCGAAGGGGTTATTCAGCTGCAAGAGTCCTCTTTTTGTTTTACTTTTTCTTCTCTAATACACAGTTATTTTTAACCATTAGAGATACAACTCATGTACGTGTTTCAAAGAGTGGTCATGCTGCAGAGCGCAGCTTTTAGCCCTGAAAACCACTCCATATGTATTTGAAAAAATAAAGAAACAGAAAGTAGTTAGCAAAGGAAGGATGTGCTCGTCATTTCTGTAAGCGACCTCTTTTGAAGGGGCCTTGCAACACTTTTTGAGCATGGTCAGAAAATGCTGGCGATCTGTAGTAGAGGTTCCCGACAACACGCGAGTTAAATATTAGAGCGCAGCACGCGGCCTGGAATTCACAATAAATGATCAAAGTCAGTTGAAATTGCTTTTTCTTCTCTCGAGAAATCACGGAAGAAGCTCAAAAATTACTCGTAAAAAGCCCATCTATCAACCATTGACCGATTTAAACATGGCGCGCACGGTCGTTACAGAGATCACCGCGACTTGTCCACGCGTGCGCGCGCGATCACACTGAAAAAACAGCACATTCGAAGAAAAAAGAAAAAAAGCGAGAGCCGCCGTTTGTTAACTGTTTTTTTTTTCTTGGGGGAGATCGAAGTCTCATCAAGGAGATAATTATCAGCCTTGATGAAGCAGGAGGCAAGTTGGAGATAATGAAAACTTGGAGATATATATTGTTGCGAAATATACACAGGTATTTACAGCTTGCCGAAGCACACTGACAACATAGATGTAAACAGCGTCTTACCCTTCTACTTAACTCTTGAAGTTAGAACCTAGAGCACTGTTACTACATACAAAGAGCCCCGTCTCACTGATCAACCACTGAGTGGTTACGGCCCAGACAAAAGTTTCGTCATACGGAGTCTTATGATCTTTCAGTCAAGTGATTGAAGCCTAGACTGAAAGAAAGCGAATTTCATCCAGTATTTATTCCTTTGTGGTAAACAATTTAAAGATAAGGGGAGGCAACTACTGCTGGTCCGCCTCAACATTCTGTTAGCCAGTCTGTTTACCGACAACTTAAGCCACTCCTTTTAGGGCTGACCTAATCTCAATACCAGTGTCTTAACAGTTTCGGCAGGCCTTGGCGCTCTTTCTCATCATGGCTCTCTCCCTCTTCTTCACAGGCTGCCAACGATTTCTCGCTGCGCAGAATTATTGCAGAGTTGTTCACATATTCTGTGCCACGTGTCCGCAGGCACACTTGCACCGAACACGAGAAGTGACAGCGGATTCGCATACCACGTCTTAGATATCGGTGTTGTGGCCCTGTGCTTTTGCGCCGTCTTCCCGCACTTAGCGAAACGAAACCGCAGTGCCGATCGTTAAAAATAATTGGGAACCGGCCGCCATTGTCCTCTCGGACGGTCACGGGAAGCAACAGATGTTTGCCTGTCATCCCCTCCCTTCCGGACCGCGCGTCACCGCGCCGTGACCTTCAGCCCGAGCCTGCCTCGAGGAAGCAGTAGCAAGGTCACGTAACCACAACTACGGACAGCTGTCGGCTGGCCGCCCCCGGAACGAGCCATTCGAAGGTAGCCCTTCGCCCTCCGGAGATAAGCGCAGAGACCGCGCGGAGAGAGAGCCGAAAAAATAGTTGCATAACATACAGTGCCGCTTGTCTATGCTGCACACCTGACACACGAGTGGCAGAACGTAACAATGATCAAGGTCACGAGGCGCGCATGATGTTTTTCTTTGCTCCCGCTATCCCTCCCTGCTTAGTTTCCAGCGCTTTCGTCGGAACAGGAGAAGAGAGAATAAATCTTTGTAACTCCTTTCACTGGACGGAGTCTTGCGGCAATAAGCTCTTCCAGTAAATTGATTCCATGGTTACTTCAAAAAGTGTTTCAGGGCCCCAAGTGCGGCCTCGTTGTCTAACGAGACCAAGGGTCGAACGTATTTAGTGCACTCTTGCTTGCAGAGCAGGCGCAGCATTGTTTCTCTCTCTCTCTTTGATCGTTGCAAGTGCTTTATGCCTCCTGAATTATGCCTCATTGGCTGATTGTTCCACATTTTTAGCCAGTTTCAGCTTGTGTTCTCCACAAGCACATGCATAGGAAGAGCCAGACAATATACATAATATATTCCTGAAAAGATATGCCAAATGGTTAGCCAAATACCTGTGCTTAATTTTTAAATCATTATTAATCTGTAGATTACCACAAGACTGGAAAGTCACAAAAATCATTCCAGTACAGAAGTCCGCTGACAAAGCTAAAGTCTCTAATTACAGGCCCATCTCCCTAACCAGCTCAGTCAATAAACTCCTTGAACAGATAGTGCTTAAAAGCATAAACACATACCTTAAAGAAAGCATCTTTTCATCTTACCAACACGGCTTCCAAAAAGGTCTATTCACTGTCACCCAGCTTGTTGAGCTAATCCACGACATATCACTTTTCATCGATAACCAAAAACAAGTGGACCTTCTTTTACTAGATTTTTCAACAGCTTTCGATCGGGTCTCACACAGTAAACCCATTGTCTAAAATTGAATCAATTTTGAATAACGGACTCATAATCACTTGGATACAAGAATGCCTTACCAACCGTTTGCAGTTTGTAGAAATTCACCATCAAGCATCCACTTTTTCATGCGTCACATCTGAAGTACCTCAGGAATGTGTACTGACTCCAGTTCTTTTCCTAATTTTTATGAATCATCTACCATACAACATAGGTGTTAAAATTAGATTGTTCACTGACGATTATATACTTTATAAAAAAGTAAATCGTACGAGGATCACGTAACATTAAACGAAGCCCTGCACTCAGTTTCTAAATGGTGTAAGGACTGGCAAATGACCCTTAACGTTATTAAATCAGCTGCCCTGACAATTACTAGAAAAAGACACATGTCTGAGTTCGCATACACCGCAAGTAACAAACGGCTAGGTCGAGTTCAAGGACACAAGTACCTCGTTTTATTACTTACACACAATCTTAGATGAGACTCTCACATTAACACCATTACATCAACTGCCTTAAAAAAGCTCTTTTTCCTCAGAGGACACCTCCGTCTTGCGCCACCTGACATCAAGCTTTTAGCATACAAAACTTTTATCCGACCAGTTCTCGAATATGCTAACATTGCATGGTTCCTGTGCACTCAACATAACACTAATAAACTTGAACGGATCCAAAGAAAGGTCATCAGATTTATATTTAACAAATATAAAACTTCAGATTCACCGACTGAATTACTAAAGAAGGCAGGTCTTTTTAGCCTTGAAAATAGATCCAAACTAACAAGGTTAAAATTCATGCATCAACTGCTACACAGCCAGGTAAACATTGACACCTCTGTTTATTTCAGTAACCTCATGTAGACCTACACGCAACACACACTCCATGACACTAACTGAATATACACTCCATTCTAACTTGTTTTAATACTCTTACTTCTCGAGAACCTTAAGAGACTCAAATGGACTAGATCCATCAACTGCAAACACTCACTCACTAGACAGCTTCACTTCGGCTGCCCTGAGGTAGCTTTACTCGAGGTAGCTTCACTAACCCAGAACGGTTGAGCCAAGTTATTACCCGATTTCTTTGTGAACATAACTATTTTCATGTACGGTCTTCTTTTCTCTTACTCCTACTTTCTAGTGGAATGATGCTTATATTGTATAACTTGTAGTTAACTCATGTCTGCATTTATGTATTTTAGTGCATTGTAGTACAACTTAGTGTAATTTTACTCTTTGTTATGTATTCTGCGGTAACCCCCCCCCCCCCCCCTTTTCCTGCCTTGATCTCGTTTGAAATTTGCAGTATTTGTAAATAAATACCTACAATTGGCGGTGAGCCGTCCGATGAAATTACTTTCTTTAAGAGCAGACGTTCATCCCTCTATCCCCGAATTCTTGAATAATCCCCCTCTTCCCTATCCGCCAAGAATCCTCATTCCGCAGTTTCACGTCGATCAACACTCTTGTGCCGTGTGCGCGGCGCAAGGTCAGGGTTGCAGCGCCCTTACTGTCGACGGGTTACGAAATATGCTCAGAAACTCTCTCATTGCTTTAGTGACGGGTGAGAAGGTTAAGGAAAGAAGTGCTCCAGTTCCATAAACGTTGGTCAAGGCCGTCAGTTGTATAGTTATTATGCGCACCTCTCCAGTCCTGCCGTGTGTAGTTCTGGGAGTGTCTAGCTACAGCAGTCTTGACATTCTTTTTACGTAGTGTGTTGCATCGTTCAGCCGGGTGTTCTGTGGTTCAATAGAGTGAATGCTTCTAGCCAGATACGTCTTGATTTGAGTCCATTTGAATTCTAACTTTTGCATTCTAAGGGATATGTCTTGCAACGCAAAGCAGTGAATCGGTTGCTGCAGACCGGCCAGTCAGACCGTAATGAACTGTTGCATACGACTAAAAGTGTTTCCTTTCACCAATTCCCAAGTAAAACAGAACTGGTCGCTAAGTGGCTGAAAAACATTGTAAGGGAAAATGTTATTGTCGACTGTCGTTTGTAGCCGACGTTTCTTTTCTGACTTTACTGACTACGTGCCTGTGTGGTGAGTCAGGAAACTTCACGTGGTGCTGTCCCGACAGCATTCGATGAGTACCCAACTTACCCAGTGCCGAGAGCCAAAAAGACTTGTCAGTGTTACGAAAACTTCGATTAAAATTAGAACAAGTTTATTTTACAAAATTTACAACCGTCTTGAGATGTGATTCTTGGTTAGTGGCACAAAAGTCTCTGCCCCTGGGCTTCGATTTTTTCCCCGTGGGAGACCGTGCTGCTCAGCTCTTACCCAGAGGAACAGCTCTGGGTAACTCGACGGGCCGAGGACGCCGCCAGGGCTCTTGGCTGACACCTAGGCGTGGGATCTGCACCACCAAGGCCGTCGGATTTTCAAAATAAAGTTTTCCCCCTCTTCCCTGCACCAACCACTGTCTCACTCTCGTGGTGTCTCTGTTCTGTTTCCATTTGCACTTGTTGAACATCATATGCGCAGTCCAGACGCTTTTCTAGGCAGGCCCCACAACTCCGTTGCGCTGTTTGTGTCATGACCGTGAGGGCGCGGTGCTGTGTACAGTTGCGTCGACAGGAGGGGAAGGCTGCGTGCCCACATGGAGCAGAGAGAGCCTTCATTAAGATCGTGTAGAAAGCGGATGTTTGTCCGAACTCTGGGATGGTTTGTGTTTTTGGTTGGGGATCCCGCGTGAGGCTATGGGTGATTTATTATAGCAAGGAGCCCGAATCTAGATGTTCTGTCCCTGTTCCGAAACCAAGCATGCGAAAAGCGGAGCCAGAAGATACGGTCGACCTTTCTGAATCGCAGGATGACTTTGCTGACAAGAAACATAGTGTTTGCACTCAAAAGGCAAATAAAGAGGCCCAACGAGTAAGTTTATATGTTTTGTCTATCGGCAGGCGTCGTAAACAAGCTGGCGTTTGAAGTGTAGCAAACTCCAACAGCAGCTTGGCACTGTAAGGAAAGCACACACTTTTTGTCGGGAGAATAACAGGCAGCTTCTGTCAAAGAACTTGTGGCCGATTGTGCAACGGTGAAAAGAAGGCCATCTTTCTCCTTCACCAACTAGACAGTTATGGGCAAAAGTGGCCGCGCTACCCAGAGAAGATAATCAGAGAGTGTGTCGTGCAACACTTTCTTTCGCCTAAGCGTTACGGACGCGCTCGGACAGCCCAGCTGCTCACACTTCTAGCAAAGTGCATGCTGCAGCGGTGCACGGGACCAAGCCTGACAATGACAGAGGTGAAAGAAAGAGGTTTTTGAAGCTCCCTTACTCAACTCTAAGCAGCATATGGCAACACTAATCATTTACGAGGCTACCATCAAAACAAAATGCATATACGATGAAAAATTGGACGCAGTCTTTAGCTTGAGCGACAAGCCTATCTGGGACACACCAGCTGGCTTGAAGAAAACCCTTGCAAACAGGGTCTTGTGTTTTATGCTTCATGGCATCACTAGCTTCTACAGAATTCTTCTCTCATACTATTTCACTAAGCAGCTTTGTGGGAGAGACCTGTTTGCACGAACTAAGGAAGCGATCAACGCTGCTGAGTCGTGCAGATTCTCGATTGTGGGTATCATGACGAATAATAATTACACCAATACTACAGTGTTTAAACTGATGGGATGTGCCAGCCTATCGACTGTAGTGAAGCTTCCATATGATATTAATTTTCCTAAGCTTAACCTATGCCACGTACTAAAAAAATGTTTAGAGTCAATTTCTCGAACGAGATCTCACAGACGACATAGGGGAAATCTGTGACATACTTGTCCAAATGATATATGGGCACCAGAAGGACATGACCATCAAGCTGGCAAGAAACTTAACCAAGAAACATGTCCACCCTAGAAACCCGGAAAAGATGAATGTCCTTCGATCAGTGTAAATAATCTCTCAAGTAATTGCAGCTATTGAGCACCTCCAAGAAAACACAGGCGGTGACACTACCCTGTACATATTCAGCTAAGCAAGTTCAACTATTCACTTTATGAAGACAATGATTCAACATCCATGATGCCACGCATGCTAGCAGCAGCCAGAAGAGCCCAATATCAGACACAGACAACTTCCGGCAGCTGTGACTTGTGAAAAAGTTTACCAGCTACACAGAAGACATCCAGGAAAGCTTGAAAGCACGAGGAAAAAATGGTTTCACTGGTGAGACATTTGAATCCTTGCGCTTTACGACAAAGTCTACAGCTGAAACTGCACGTTTTCTTCTGTGAAATGGTATTAACTGCGTCTTTCCAAGGAAGCTGAACAGTGGCCCTATTTGAGGTCAAAGTTGGAAGAATAAGATTCATGTGCAAAGGGAATGACACGCTTGATGCAAGGGCAGTGACCACTGTGCTTTATCGCATTATCAAGTCTGAGGCCTCGATTGGCAAGGAGCTCACAATACCTTGTGTTGGTGCCGAAGAGCTGGCTACAGCGCTACCACATTTTCTGACTGAGGATTTGAATGACCATGCAGAATAACCAGACACCCCATCACCCTGTGTCATACACTCTTGTTTGGTTATGTCACTGGATACATCGCCAAACTAATAAGTGACTTTCAGAGTGACGCGTGTTCAATGCTCCACGAAACGTACAGGAGAAGTGATCCTATGTATATGCCTCAGCAAAGCCAAGATTTTAGCAGGCTGCAAAAGCAGTGTGTGTGGCTCTATTTTGTGCTTTTTTTGAGAAAGCTGTCAAGCACCTTCCACGCGTAAATGTTCTGGAAGTACTACAAATCCTCATTCAGTCACGTCTTGAAAACTCGCTACTGCTACGTTGTCCAAAAGGCGTCAACAACAGCCACGCGATAAGGCCTGCCGGCTTGACTTCCGAGAAGTTTGTCGGAATACTTCTGATCAACTACACCAAGAAGATAACCAACAGGAATAAGACGTCAATAACTTATGCGCACAAGCCATCCAAAAAACACTTTAGGCTTTGAATTTTTATCCCAGGTGGGAGTTATTTGAGCAAGAAGTGATGTGTTACACATGACAGTTTTCAAACAATGTGTTATTAATGAAGGAAATTCTCAGTTTATTTTTAATTTCATTGTCAATAAATAATTGGTTTCACAAAGTATGTATCACCATCAGCAAAGTTCGTGATGGTTCTTTGTCGATCACGTAGATCTTGGACGATCATCAGCAGTGATGATGAACTCAAGCGCAAGCAGTGGAGGTTAAATGGACGAATTCGTTTATCAGAAGGGGAAATAATATATACAACTGAGCTTAAGAGATACACAGATAAACAGTAGAGAAACGTGCAGTCTCACTCTACTACTTATAAAGTTAGAGCCCAGACTGTTTTCAATCGTATTTGCCTCTAGCTTCAATGATCTACCAACATCCTGATTGCAGCCAAGGCTAGATCTATGTAGGTACAGAGATTCACCGATCTATCGGAAACACTGATTACAGCCCAGACTGTCCAGTCACAATCATGCACATATATAGTGCCACAAAAAAATAAAATGGGCAGTGGCCGTGCTTTAGCCCTCCCTTGACTGCGGCGGCCAATTAGAGCCAATATATTCGAAGGCCACAACCCACCAGGCAGGGCCAAAACGAAAAACCAAACTACCAAGAAAAACAACTGCCTTTCTCCTTCCCCATCCGCAAGTGATCGCAAACAGTGTCAGTAGCGGATGTCACATGTACGCAATTTATTGCTCACACATTCTGCTCTTCACATTCTGGTCTTCAACGGCATCGTTAGCCACCCAAGCATGTACCATCGCTGGCGAATGCCCTCCAACAGCTTCACTTGGACCCATCAAGGGTGGTCTGTCTCTTTACCGAATGCGGCGTCTTCCCGGAGCTTGAAAACAAGACTGCCACAGCCGTGGCCCAGACCCCACGCTAGAAGGGGGTGGCACGCCACTGCCAGCGTAGCGCCATCGCATACAGCCAATACAACTGCCCGTGTTGCACACATATGCTGCAGGAGGTGCATGACACCGGCTTCTGCCCAAAAATCTTATCCCTCTCGGCATTCCACGACCTCTCAGTTCCTCCCTTGACATGAAACCGCTCTCACCTTGAGCGCGCGGCGAAGAAGAAAAGCCAGGCGGCCGCAGTCTGAGAGCGAAATGACACTGCCATCTTTCCCAGAAAAGAGAACATGCCAACCTCCTCAGGGAGCAAAACCTCCTTAGCGAGTATATGTGGCCTTACACCATCCTTTGTTTTTAATGCCAGTGGTGCTCAAATAAAAAGACCAGCACTTTGGCTCCAGAGCTATGACGCAAATTGAAGCCTGATGTTTCGTTCTGTGCAAACACTGCATGTTGCGCAGAAATTCATTTGCCAACTCGAACACATAACTAGGCAAGACAAAACTGTGCAGTGGTAGTATAGGAATAAGGGTCAAGAAGTTTTTATCAGTGCATGGCAGTTATAAATAATGCGAGCATACACGGTGAGAGGGGAGCGAGTGCACGCTCGTTATCTGCTTGGGCTGGAGGCAGTGGTAGCTGTAGGGTCGCAGCGACAACATAGGTGTGCGGCGTGAGGGGTAAACAGTGACAATGAGAAGGTTGCAAGAAGGAAAGTGCGTGCACCTGTCCAATCCGGCCATGGTATGACAGAGTAAACTCGACTTCAAAAAAAAGGTGTCAATGGCCCTAAATCCACAGGGCCTTTCAGGAAAACATTGCATCATGTTTCCTTGTGTATCAGCATGTCTCCAGAACAGGCATAATGCAATTGCCAGACACATGGTAAGGCAGAGTAGCTGTTAGTTTGAGATGTTGGGGCTCACCTTTCCTGTGTACCCTATACTGATTATCTCCAAGACAAGGTGTGAAGACCACCGTTGTTCTAAGTTGCTGCAAGCATCGCCAGGTGGAATGGGCATGCACAGTCAAACTGGCGTGCATGTTTGTAGAGCCATGCCTATCGCTCATTGAGCCCATTGATTGCATGCGCGCCTCTAGGCCTTGTCCTTCGCATGGCAGCCAAGGCACATTCATTTCAGACTTTGACAGAACCATGAGAGCTTTCATCAATAAATAGTCCTTTCAATACTTCTTCTGTAAAGGAGACAGATGTACCAACACTTCCACCACAAAATGGTGCAAATCTATTCCCTGTTCAGTTACATTATCCTTCATTCTCTTCAATGTTAGCGTCTTTCTCTAAAGGGCTGCAAAAAGTATTTTTACCATGTACTTCGACAGCCACTTCGACAGCCAGAAGAGGAGATGCACCCTTTTCTGAATCATACCAGCGTACCTTCCTGCACTGCATTCAGCTCTAAGAATCACAAATATAGCAAAGTGTTCAGACGGTCTGCTTCCAATACGGGATAAGTAGGTTGCAATGCCCAGTGCCTGTGGCTGCTCACTAGTTTTCCTGCTGAAGATCTCCTGGACTTTGCGCTCACTGGTGGGAACACAGAACTAGAGGTGGTTTAGGAGAAATACTTATACTTTTTCAACTGATAAGAGAGCTTGTGGCTCAGTGTTGCTCTACCTCATAAGTTCCTTTATCTTTTGTCACTCCCTCTGGGTAATGAAAGGGGAAGAAAAAAGAGGCCACGCCCATGAGAAATCATCACCTACATCACCAAGCACCTGGCTCGGCTACCATGTCGGCCCATTTCAAAAATTGGTGGGCGTCTAGCACCACAAGTTATTCAACTCAGTAGCTCTGAGAAGTCGGCCTTTCTGTTATACTATCTTCTGCTTCTTCCCTACCTCAAACCACATCCTCAATGTCACCTGAAGTAAACGAACTCTGCCCTCCCTGCCACGTCTAAAGTCTGAAAGCCTCTCACTTTTGTAGCTTTTTATTTGCATGACGACGCGACGTGTGAACCCTAAGTCGGCATTTGTGTGGAAAAGAAGCATTGCAGTGAATACAGGCGAAGGGATGTTTTTGTGCGTGAATGCGCATGTGCTCATTGAGGTTAGCTTTCGACAAAAACGATTCATTGCAGTGGAGACAGGAAAACGGGCGTTCTCCTGAGTGCTTTCGCATATGTCTAACCAGCTGGGTTTTGTGCACAAAAGATTCATTGCACTGTACACAGGAAAAAGGGCGTTCTCCAGTGTGAAGGCGCATGTGGTCAACGAGGTGGTTTTTCAGCCCAAACGAAGCATTACAATGGACACACGAATACGGACGCTCTCCCGTGTGCTTGCGTATGTGCCGCACAAGGCAGCCCTTCGTTGAAAAGGATGCACTGCAATGGACACAAGAAAAGGGGCGCTCTCCTGTGTGAGAGCGTATGTGTTCAGACAGGGTGTACATCCGCGAAAATGTTGCATTGCAGTGGACACAAGAAAATGGACGTTCTCCTGTGTGCTGGCGGATGTGTCTCTGCAGGTGATTTTTCTGCACAAAAGACGCATTGCACTGCCCACAGGAGAAAGGACGTTCTCCAGTGTGAAGGCGCATGTGCTCAACGAGATGGCATTTCATCACAAACGATGCACTGCAGTGGACACAGGTGAAAGGACGCACTCCTGTGTGAGTGTGCATGTGCTTAACGAGGTGAGTTTTCTTAACAAACGATGCATCGCAGTGAACACAGGAAAAGGGACGCTCCTTTGTATGAGTTCGGAAGTGTTTCATCAGGTCATTTTTCTGCAAAAAAGATGCACAGCAGTGATTGCAGGAGAAGGGAAGTTTTCCCGCGTGGGTGTTCAAGTGAGCCATCAGATTGAAGTTCTGAGAAAATGCAGCTGGGCACAAGTGGCACTGTAAGGGAAGCTCGCCCACATGTTTCTGATGGTGTCTGTTCATATTCGTGTTGTCCTGTGTCACATAGGTGCACTGCTGGCAGGAATTCAGTCGGTCTCGTACAGACGCCGATGAAGAAGACTGCTCCAGGGACAGAAAAGATGAGCAACCTGCAAAGCCACCGTGAGCACGCAAGGGCAATATAAATTATAATTTCTGCACTATGTGGAACATGCTACAACACCAGCCAATACATATTATTTGTTTTGAATGTAAGTGAAGCAGTGATCACCTTACTGCACCAAAACCAAGGCAACAGTGGACTATCTCAGTACAACTCTCATGCTAATTCACTTTTATTTCTTAGACACAATACTATTGAGAACTAACAGACCATATGGACAAAGAGAGAATAGAGAATGTGATTTGTGGTAATTACTTGATAAATGTCAAAGAGATAAAGCAGACAAGAAGATAGCTTACAGCCATCAGGAACTGAGCTGGCAACATTTGAATAAAGTGACCAGTGCTTTACTCAATGTGCTGGGGGTGGCCACCTCCTAGTCTACTTTGTTGTGTACCTATATCTGTGCATTTAGACCTGGGAGTTTTAGCACGAATTGTAGCTATGCCTGCGAGTGTGGAAAACTTTTGCTGCCTGCTGGCATCATATGACATGTGATCTTTCTATGAGCTGGCGCTTTATAAATAACTCGTTGCATTCATGACAAAGTTCTCCTTCTGGCAGACTTCAAGCCTTCAAGTAGTATGCAAGAGATTATTGGTCACCTGCAAGCTCGCAGAAAGACAATGTGCTGTGTAATGGCTGCAGGCAAAAAAGAGGGTTCCACACTGGCCAGCATGGCTGCACTCAGCATTCTCTAATACTCCCAGGTATAGACGCACAGTTCTATCCAATTAAGTGGATGGGGTGATAACTACTGCCATAGCTGCAGTGTTGTAATAAGATGGCTGTTTGGGTTTGAAGTCCCAAAACCACCCTATGATTATGAGAGGCACCGTAGTAGAGGTCTAGAAATTTCTACCACCAGGGGTTCTTCAATGTGCACCTAAATTTAGGCACACGGTCCTCGAGCACTTTCGCCTCCATTGAAAATGTGGCTGCCGCGACCTGGATTTGATTCCACAACCAGCGGGTCAGCATCCTTAGCCACTAGACCACGATGACGGGTGCCATAGCTCAGTTGGTAGAGCACCAGATGCATCCTTTGAAGGTTGCAGGTCTGCCGACGGCACTTTATACTTTTGTTCACATCGCTTTCTTAGCATTTATATCCCGACTACTACATTCCCTATACTTTTCTCCGTACTACTGTCCCTAGGTTCTCATAAAAACGTGCTTGAGATATAGAAACACCAGGGTCAGAATAAAAAACAAACAAACAATTTATATGTCATTCCAATGCGATGCCCAAAAAGCCATATTGCTTTGAATATGTGCCAATGTGCACTAACTAACCCATTGAATTACTTACAGCAAGTTTTTCTTGCACAGAAGCACCCACAGAACACTCTGCAGCAAGATAACCAGTTTATATTCCAAAATAAGAAGCATAGGAACGAAAGTACGAGTGCAAGAGGTTGATAAGAAGCAAACTAGACAATGTGAATAAAGCAAAACTAACATTTACACGAGTTAGAAACGGTATCTTTGTTTTGGTGGTCCAGACTGCAAACACACTTATTGACATTAAAGGAAGAACTGTTTTTTTACATTACAAGCCATTGCATAAATCCAGAAAAATCTGATCGTGGAGGCCATTTCATGGTTTTAAATAAAGTTAAAAAGGAAAATGAGGTTCGAACTTGAGAAATTGGCTTAGCATTATTGCGCCAGTCCTATGTTCTCTGTCAGTCCTTGTATTGTTCTGTACTATAGCTTTTCTTCAGGAGTCGAGTGAGTCTTTCTTGGACCGGTCAAGCGGCTTTTGCGATTTTCATAGCCTCACACAGCTGAAAAAACTGAATAGAGCTAAACCAAGAAGTATTTAGCCTTTAAAAAAGTTGAATGCGCTAGGGCTTAACTGTCAGTTAACTCAAACACACAAGGTGTTCTTTTTAGGCTATATGTACAGATTCTTTAAATAAAAATTCTATGGCATTGAAGCACCTGTCGCTCTTGCATACAAACTCAACGTTAAGGCAGAAATATTTTGCTGCAGTTAACATGACACTGTTGCGACTGATGAACAAAAATTCTTAGATTAACCTTTTTGTTATTGACTTGAGGGCAGGCGTTTATACTACAAAGTTCTAGTGCATGCCAGTTTATGGCAAACCTGATTTTTAGAAATAAAAAGTTGCGCATAGTTTGAGGTATTCATTGGCGCATACAGAGCACGGCAGAACACAAACATGACGTGAGACAGAGAAGCGACGAAATTAGCACGAAGGCATGCCAAAGCACCATATGGTCAGAAAAATCGGTGAGCATCGTGAAATGCTCTAGCAGACAGGTTAATGTTTACGTGCGATGAGTTATCCGTATCTGTTTCTTTCTTAAGCTATAAAGAGATGCGAAAAAAAACAAAAAACTTGTGCTGTGTGCAAGAAGAAGCGCTGCAGTGGCCGCCCCAGGGTTTTATGCTTTCCAGACAAAGAAAAGGGTGCTATTCTGGTTTTGCTGTGCACAGTTCCAAGCAAACAAATAAGCACGAAACACTATGTGCAAAGTAAGGTGATATGCTGACCCAAGCAAAGTGATTATAATATTTTGTTTAACAAAAAAAAGGGCCCCTAAATATTTACTTCTTTCCTTCATTCATAGTGAGGGTATCGTTCTGACAAACATGTCGCCTTTAGGTAGCATACGAGGAATTATTAGTCAGCTACCAGGTAGTATTAGGATCACGTGCTACGTGGCGTTACGTGACATTGCAGTTACTATGTAGTTCTGCTTGTTGACCAGCTTCATTAGCTCAGAGAACATTATTTTAGATCTCAAGGAAAGATCAGAATCAAAAGATGCAAGTTTTTTCCAAAATTACATAGTTTTCAATTTTATTTGCTTTCAGAAAGTGTTTCTCAACATTTACTACAAAAAATTGAGCCTTGTAATTAAACTTGTCATAGGTAAAATCACCCTTAAAAAGCACAAGGTGGCCACCAAAAACTAAGAAGACCTGTCTAGAGTTCCCTGGAAGTTGCCACCTGTGCTGCTTGCCATTGCATCTCGCATGAGAAGTTCACTAAAGCCACATGCTTAAAATAACCATGTTTTCCAAGCTCTCATTATTGAATAAATCAATTTAAAATAACATAGTTTTGCCCAAAAGATGAGCTTGCCGTTATATTTTTCAAATATGTTTTTTGTAAGATCCATCTTCAAATAATGTTTTGAGTTTAGACACCCTGTTTTGGTACTTCTGGTAGCCAGAGCAAAATAAAATTTGGCCACATATTCCTTGACATAAAAAGAATGCAGGTACGTATCGTCCCTAGAACTTGATATCACCAATATAATTATTGTAGAGCTGGAATAAGCAATTAGTATGGGCAGAGCATCTTAAGACTTCTCACAATGCAACTTTTCTTGCCGCTTAAATGTTTACATGCACTTTCTTGATAGCTATTTGTATCCTACAGTTATTCAGAAGCAATATGAGTCATTAATAGCTTAGAACCATAAAATTTTAATGTGAATAAACAACTATATTTTACTCATTGTCATGGTACAAAACAAAAACCATGCAACTTCTTTGAAACTGGTTAAATTATTGAAATCAGCATAAAAAGCTATATATACAGCAAAAGTTTGGCTGCCCTTGACTAAAGACAATTTTTTTTTTTTTTTGAGTGGTGTGTTTCTTTAACTGACTCCTTCATGTGTTGCCGTTTTCATGCTTTTGTGATTTAAGAAAGCTTGCTAGTCTGTGCCTCGATCTTTTACATCCAACTACGATCGCTGCCTCAGGGATCAGTGTATCTACTGTTTTGTTCATTCCTTCGATGACAGCATTTTCTTATTGTACTTGAGCATCTGTGTGTATCTGTTTTTGATCGTAATCCTTAAGTGGTCAGATTTGTTCTAAGTGAGTCCAAGTTACGTGGTGTTTTGGTAATTAGCCTTGCTGAAGGTTGGAGCACTATTGCTGCCCTTACTAACCTATGGTCAGTTCACTTCACTTTCCTTGTGATATCAACATCTTGTACGCATTATAGTGGCCCCTATAGAATGAAATCTATTTCGTTGTTTGTACATAGAGCTTTTCCATATGCACTTGTTATTTCTACCTTTACAGAAAAAGGTGTTCATATGCAGAGCATACCTTGCTTTTCTAATTCTATTGACATTTCTCGTCCGTTATTTCCATGGTAAATATCACAGTCACAAAGTGCTTCTTCGGCGTTTTCTTCCTACCCGACTACATACATGACGGAATACAAACTCCAGCATTTTTATTTGGCTGACTGCAACAGCTGTGACGATGTGATTCGGCATTAAACAGCATGTGCATGTCCATAGAACCAGACCAATGCACTCAATATACTAGATTTTAGTACACTGTATGAGGGCACTATAGAGTAGATCTTTGATTATACAAATTTTGTGCGGTCATGAAACATATTCGTATGACTGAACAGGGTTCGTACAGGTTTCCAAGGCGAAAACTCAAGGATATTCAAGGACTCTCCAGAACCTGTTGCAAGTTTTTAAAGGACTCAAAGCGGCACGCTAAGTTGGAATTCTTCACTCTAAAAATTTTCAAAAATGACCGATTTCATTACACTTACAATATCTATGGATATCACAATTATAAAAAAAAAGAGCGTAGTATTAATAACTTCTCGCACCCTCTCCATACGAAGAGGGCACGATGTCATGTCAGAAAGTTATGCGCTGATGGGGTTCAATGCGCATGTGTAGTCGGGTCATAAAGGGGTCGTGCCACAATATTTGTGGCTTGTGTGCTCTTTGCTGCAAGCTTTAACTATAGCTCCAATAAGCACGATACAGGCACCAAGATTAATTTATTCATGCTATGTAATTTGTCGCCTTTTTGGTATAGACAATTTTCAGTTTCTGTTTGTGGGGATTGGGTTATGCAGGTACATAGCAGTGTTTCTGACTTAGTCACGTGATCACAAAGCTTTGCACGCGTCATGCTGAGTATTGTCAGCTCTCGCACAAATGTGCCACACAAGCACCTGCAAAACAATCTCGCCGCTACCTGCAGCAGCCACGATGCTTTGCCGATATGTAAGGGATATTCAAGGTCACTCAGCTTACTACAGATCTGGTGTGACGTCACTAGAGCCCTTGTTGCCCTTCCGGTAGAGCTACGTTAGCGTTGGACGCGCTCGCGATGGGCCTCGATTAGGGGGATGAGCATTTAGGTACACCTAAAAAGTGACTTAAGATATATTCTTAAACCCACAAGGTGTTTGCTATAGCCTTGAAATTTGATGGCACCACCCCATCAAGAGTGCCGGCTTGTGCACAGTTGACATTCGCAGCTAATTGCTCAACAACCAAGAAGTAACAACTGTGACAGTGCTTAATTTACACTCATCCTGTGGATACATGTGTGTTCTTTTCTAGCAACATTCTTGGTTTGTTTAAGCAGCACGCTTCGAGTGTCGAGCTATGACAGTCATTCATTACCACTTGTCCTGTGCGCTTTCACTGTGTGTGTCCTTCGTGATTGAGCGGCGCGTTGCATGTATGGGCTTGCTCGCCCTTCTTCGTGTGACATTCTAGTTTATTGCTATCACATTCACTGCTTTACCCTCGCCACAAACTAACTTTTTTTTTTCGCATGCACTTTTGCAGAATGAGATCATGTGCACCCACGCCCCATCACTGCTTCAGAAATGGGGAGTTTAACAGGTTCTTACACCGATGTACCGCATTTAGGAGGTCGCAATGTCGATATGAGAATGCACTGCTCAGGAAATTCAAGGATTTTCAAGAATTGGGAAAAATTCCAGGACTTTCGAGTGCCTTGAAAATGCATTTTTCAAATTCAAGAGTTTTCATGAATTTCAAGGACCTGTCCTGCTGAAGACACGTAACTTCTGTACCACTAGCATGTTTACTGCATGAAAAAAAAAAAGAAAAAGAAAAAAGAAGAAAATTAATAGAAAGACAAAAATTGGCACACAATAATATTTATAGTTTTTTAGGGCAGCACCAATTTTAATAGATCCCTCTCAGTGATTAGAAGTAGTTCTAAACTGTCATCAACCATACTTGCACAACACGGCATGTACACATGTTAAAAAGAATAGTCATGGACAAAAAACTACTGCTCCAAGTGACAGTGTTTCGCCCCTTCACAATTTTGCTACGATTATCTGCACGACTAATGTACCGCAGTGGAAGTGACTCAAGGGGAACTTGGTAACATATTTCCGCTGGACTTATAAGCAGGTCGAAAAGATTCCCGTGGGTAGACATCTAAAAAGTTACAAGTCTTTTTATTGGCAGCCAAGTTTGTGTGAAACTACCCAAAGACTCACTCTGTCGTACATTTCTATTATCAGATGTAATGTTGTTTAAAACCAAGAGATAACGCTACACGATTCAAGACTTGTTAGCTTGTCAAAGCTGAAACAGGCACCTTGGTTGTTCAACCAGACAACATACTTTGCACATAAATATCCAATGAAACGGTATTCTGCACTGAGTGCTTGGCCTATCACTGGCTCCATACTGAAATTTTAAAAGCATTAAAACAAGTGGGAGTAAATAGAACCTCCTGAAATAGCTGCCAGACAGAATGTTGTGAGAGAAAATATGCTGGGCTGGCTTCATAGAGACAGATGTGGAACGGGGGGGGGGGGGGGGGGGGGAAGCTCTGTTAAATTTAGTTGAGGTTTATTTACTCTGCTTATGCCCTCTGGAGCTTTTTAACACCCTCAACAAAAAAATTTGACAATGCTAAATGATATAAACATGAAAAAAAAAAACACTATCACTGATTCGCGGCAAGAGCAAACTAATCTGAGAGGCACCCATAACAGGTGGAGTGTGCAGTCGCGCCACAGCCAGGACCTACCCGCAAAAGCTGCATAGCTAGTGCTGAAACTGAGAACTCAATAAAGTGGGTGCGGCAGACATGAGTTCACGGTTCATACATTTGTACCGTTTGTGCTGCACTCACACCGCTTACTTTGCATCGAAGAGACAGAAAGCACGAAAGTCACTTCACTCGCTGGAGCGGCCATATTCCTTTACATCAGCAGATTGAGAATACTGTCAGATCAAATCCTAAAGGAGGCAACTGTTAGCCTTACTTCTTATAACATCCCCAATGTGTTGTTACAGCATACCTGCCAACCTGGCAACAAAGAAATTCGTAAAACTTACGAGCGGGGAAAGGGGGGTTACAGATTTTTTTTTTTTTAATTAGTAGCTGTGATGGATTTGGCTTTAGCGACAAGCATAATTATGTTTTGCCACCATAAGTCAAATCGACGTGCTGAATTACTTTCCCCATTTTTGGCACAAAAAGGAAAAAAAAACAAAATAAAACATTGTGAAAAAACAAGAGAAAGGGGGTCCCAAACACAAGCGCAAACATTGCCGTTGCAGTCTCATAATGGCTTAGAGTGGCCGAACATACGAGGGTAGGGATTCCCACTAAAGTGAGTGTCTCAAAGGGGGAGCGCAAATGCTCCCGAAATTTCGCGTCATCAAAACAACTAACAAAAAAATCGATTTCCATCAAAACAACTCGCATATGTCTTTACACGTGAACGGATGGGACGGCACAGCTGGCTGCCACGAAAACCCGGGTAAAAACTTTGGCTTTGCTCGTTTCTAGATTCTATGAACAGGAAAACCAAAACGCTTTTAGACTTTCTTACGTACTGCCTTTAATCTACCGCTGCGTCAGCCACGTGCCTTCGGAGCTCGTAGATCGCTATCGCATCGCCGCGATCGCGGTTTTGTGCGCGGCGATTGCGGCAAGTGGTAGTTTTGTTTTCAATTCACGTGCCTTCAATACTAAATCATTTCATGCTATCTATGATCACAACTGCCTCGGTTTTGTCCACAGAGTTCGCTGAAAGCAGCATTGCTTTGACTGGTTCAGCATTGGCCGCGTGCACACTTTCAAAGTTCTGTTGGTAACGTCGTCGCCATACATGATTGTGCCGAACGACTACGGTTTCGTCCATAGCGGTTGTAGTAACGACAACCACACGCATTGTACAAGACGGCGCATGCGCTGGTTGCACGCGTACTTCCGAAGCTTCGAGCACGCTGCTCTTGATCGGAACGGTTTCGGTACTGAAGTTCATTCACACGCCTTGTTCAGGGAAAGTGTTTGAAAAATTCGAATTTCGGCCCAATAGACACATGAATTTGACTGGGAATTTCACAAATTTGTATCTGTCACAGTTTCGCATCACTGAGACTCTACTTGTATGTTTAGATGAACGCCTCTCAAGTTCGTTCATAATGAAATACGGTTGGTTCGCAAAAAGCCTGGAACAGACTGACCTGCATTTTTGTCAATGCAGCCACATCTCGCACACAAATTTCGATTTCCAAGAGATTTTCATGGCAACCTTAAAAATGGGAGGAACGATCGAAATCCGGGAGTCTCCCGGACAATACGGGGGGAATCTTGGCAGGTATGTGATGATGATAACACCGATCAATATTGTTTTATCCTGGTGGCGAAATATAGCACAACGCCAATTGTCCCACCTCCGCGACTAGCTATGGCAATGCACCGTAGCCAATCGCGGGGACCACCCTTTTTCATTTTTTTTTATCAGAAATAAAATATTTTTTCTAAAATTTTCAGAATCGTAAGCGCAGTCGAAATTAGTACATTTTACGGGAAAATATGAGAAGTTAGCAGGTATGCTATAGGACTCCCCGCTTCACTCTTTCGGAGAAACTCTGAGTTTTTTATTTTTATGTTAAGCCAAATGAGACAACATACCTGAAGAAACAGCTTGAGGTTCTGTTTGCATAGCAATTGATGACATAATTTGTTTTACATCTGCTTGTGATGCTGCGGGGCAGGTTAGTAGTTGTACTTGAACAGATTTCTCTGTCATGTGACCCAGTTTACACACTGGCTTTGGTGATGCTTTTACAGGTTGTGCCGACTCGCAAGACGGACCTGTCGCAGGCACTGGTTCTACTGCGATGTCATCCTGAAATGAATTGGCTAGTATTGCTGCGTTTGCCAACGCTAAAGATTATTGGCGAAAAAATAAATGCTAAACTTTCTTACATGGTCCGTTTCACTACAATGGTTTGGTCTTGGCATGTGCCCAATGGTTCCATCTCCAGCGAGAATCTGTACAAGAATATGACACAGTGTATGAAAAGATTACTGTATGGATGGTTAATGACACATACAGAAGAAAACCGTAACATGTAAGTACTTTTTGCTGACCTAGCTGGTACATCATTAAGAGGGGTACTTTCATAGGCCTAAAACACCGCAATAAGAATGCAAAAGCACAAGAAAGGAGTGTCCTTGAGCTCTTACATTCTTCTTGCAGTGTTTTAGGCATTCAAAATGTTTGCTAATTAAAAAAACACTGACATAAAGGGATACTAAAAAAAATTTTTGCCGCCAATATTTTCAGCCAATTATATAGGTTGGATCATGAAATCGATACAGACAACCTTCATTCGAAGCAGAAACTACGGGAAGATAATTAATTTTATGAGTTTTTCACAAACTGTCGCGTCTAGCAGCTGCATCGTAAACTAGAGGATGTGACGTTTGGCGACGTCAAACTCACTCGAAACTGCCTTTTGACTCGCTCATCTCCCACTTCGGTTCCTAGAACCAGTATGAACAGCAAAAGCAGTGAACAATGCTTCCGGCTGGAGCAAAGCACCAGCGCTTTTGTGGAAGAGAAAGAGTGGAGTGAAAGGATAGATGGAGCAAAGGGAGAGGAGGACAAGAACAAGTGCATCCTGCAAATGCCTCAATGAGTTCGCCATCACTGCTCGCACTCGCGAGCAGCCGCCACGTGCTCACAAGCCATCAAAAATACAACCAACTGTTCAAAAATACGAGAAATAAACTCAGTTTATCGAAGCAGGGTCATTTTCTGAATGTAATTTTGAAATTTCATCACTTTTTCCAATTTTTTGTTCAGTATTTCTTTGAATTAAGCAAATGATTAAAATAAGAAATATAAAACTAAACATATAAAAATTTATTCGTGTATAAAAAGGATTAAGACCACTGAATCACATTGTAGTATACCTGCCTGCTCTTGTGTTGTTCTGATGCTGTAAATAGCTTTATCTTTTAGTGGCAGGAGTACTGAATGGCACTTTGTCCGTCCGGAGTATTGAGTGACACCCAAGTCGAACCGGTCAGCACTCCCGATTTTTTTATTTTTAAAGTCGTCTCAATAAAGATATGGAGGGTTCTGGTTAAAGTTAAAAGTAGTAAAATAGGTGTGTGTGTGTGTGTGTGTGTATACATAGAACTGCAGGATAACTTTACTTCACATAAGGGCCATTAACCCTCAGCATAATTAAAATAAACTGATGGAGTTCACTTAAATATTTTGAACTGTGATGTGGCACATGGCCTAAGCCTATTTCTATGTGCATATTTCTACTTGGTCTCGCAAATTCTCTTCGTCAAATTAGTACGAAATGGATGGTTTGGTGTAAGTTGAGAGTTGTATTAAGGTAAAAACCTTGGACACCTCATCAGATAAGAAAAGTGACCTTCGGCTTCAACAGGAACGGCGCACAAAGTCATGTGAGCAGAGATTACACCTTTATGAGAGCTTCATGATAGCACGGACCGTCAAAACTTGCGAAGTCATTATGAAGTCAAAGCAGTGCTTCCAATCCTAGTGGCAATGCAAAATCACGTCAGGTGTGGAACATTTTCAAGGGAAAGAGGGAACTTTGGAGCACCCCTGCGTGTTGATGTTGAACACTAAATGTGGGATGTCATCTTTCCATTTGTGATCTTCACATACAACAAAGCCAAGCAAAAGACCACGCAGATTACGCCGCGCCAGTTGGCCGATTGAGTTAACCCGGCAACGAAGTTTGACGTTATGCAGCTGAGCATCACTGGCAAACAAAATGTTCACGTTGCTATATACTTGGAGTGCTCTGAATATTGGCAGCTCACCCACCAGCCTGTCGAGAACCAGCAAAAGATTGGCAGCTATCCCTACCCTACCATCATTGCAATCTCAGATGACACAACATGGAGTATCAACCTGGTGACCATGCCTGAGTCTGCACACGAATTTGACAACGTTTACCGAGTTTGAGGCTTCTACAGAAATTGGCAAGCGCATGAAGACAGGGACAAGAAGGTGACACACAGAGTGCTACTTCCAACTAATATATTTACTGTGACACAAGCACACCATATATGTAGTTTCTTCATGAAATGGTAACGGCGCATGCTTAACAACTACAGTTTTTATCATCTTATTCTTACGCTCTCTCGCTTTTTTTTGCTGTGACAATTACAGGCTTTGCTAGCGTGCGCAGGAACTGGGCAAAAAAGCAAAGGCAGCCGATACCATGCAAGCTTTTGACAGAATTCATAGATTCTTTCAAAGGCAAAATCGACTGGGAGAGGAAGGTAGCATGAAATGAACAAGTGAACAACAAAATCTGGCCAGCATAAATGAACAGGAATAAAAAACCACAAATGAGACGTAACAATGGAGGTCGTCAAAAGGTAGAACTGTATTTGTGATTCCAACTGAGCACTCGCCACCTAGCGGCCGCAACAGAAAACAGCACAAACGGTGTCGACCTTGAAAGGAAATATGTTAGCATGTTGCTCGCATTGAGGAACGGCTGGCTGCATACTTCCTTTATTTTCACCATGCCGCATGTGCGAGCCTGAAAAAAAAGAAAGCAACGATCGTGTAGGAAGTGCTAGCTGGTCAGATGGGGCGTTGTTCAAGCAGCAGATTATTAGATCATACAGCTTCTCTAAGGGAAACACCCTGTTCGAACTTGTCACATTGTAGAGAGTGTGATTGCATGCTGTGCCGTACCCTCTTGAAGAGAGCGGCCAGGAGCCGCGTTTGCCTTTCAAGTGCCGCCAAGGGAAGTCACGGGGACGCTTAAGCCCTTAATAGGGGCTACTTCTAAGTCTTGAAAATCCTTTTTCCTTTGTTATGGCCACTTTAAACAGGCGCCGCAAACGACCTTCAGAGCGTCATTTGTCATCTTCTCCGTCAACTCATGGAGAGAGTGAAAGCACCGGTCGTCGACGGAAGAAGAAATGCCTGGCGGCGGGCAGACTCACCCTACCTGCCCGAGCAACAGCACCGCTTTTTTACGGGGGACTTACTGAGTGCTCGTGAATGTTTGTTAAAATGTGACCCCAATTCCTGTTAATTAAAGTTACTTTTGTTTAAATGTTCACTAGTGTTCGACCGTTAACTGGCTGGATAGCGGACGCTTTGACCCGTCAAATGCGAGCTGCGAGACCAGCATAGTAAAAAAGCGCTTCAACTGCCATCGGCCGCCAACTCAACGTCCGCCGGCAATGGGATACGTCGCCACGGCAAGACCCCCGGTCGAACCCAGACACACGCCCATTGCAAAGATTTCATCGCCAAGGGGTTGAGCAGCTGACAGCAGAAGGGCAGCAACAAGGTGGGCTCATTTCATCTCTGAATGCTCAATGCACAGCTTAGCACCATTTGTTTCACATACGTCCGCTCCGAGACAAAACGTACAAGCAAGAATGGACCAGGACGAGCTGACGCATGAGTGTCCAAATGTCACACCACAAGATGAAGCTTCCGCATCAAACGTTCGGCCGCAAAGAAAAACAACCCTATCGACGAGGGCTAAAGAAATGTACCAAACGAGCCGCGAAGAGCACTGCCGTAAACTAGATTCTGTTTGGAAAAACGTGGAGAGTGCTCTTCAGGCACTGTCACGCGCTAAGGGAGAACAGTTTACCGGCGCCAAAACGCAGCTCCGTGCAAGTTACGAGTGCTACAAGCATGCTACCGCAAGATACTCAGCCTTTCTCCAGAAGGCGAAGACGTCTGAAGCCAGGCACGAATTACGGCTCCGACAGGCAATCGATGAAGACCGTGAGGCGATCGTGAGCGAAAAGTTACAAGAGGCCACGCCACAAGAACGCGACGAGGCACATGAAACAGCATCGCAGTTCTCTCTATCGGTTCACTCAAGAGCTTCCTCGCGATTACGACGATCGGGCTCCTCCACGATTAGCCTGGCTGCTGTGCAGGCCCGCGCACAAGCAGAGGCTGTCAAAGCAAGAGCTTGAGGTATTACAACATGAAAAAGAGGCAGCTGCTGCAGACGCGCAGGCAAGTGCACTCGAGGCAGCTGTGGAACAGGATGGCGGGGAGTGTGTGCGCCCACACCCACCTTTAGAACGGACACTACGGGTTTCGAGCTACATCACTGAGCAAGCCGCCATACGTGATGCCGAGCTTGCGTCTCTTCGGGTGCCTGTTGTTCATCCGAGAAGTCAGAGCTTGGAGCATGCTGAAGTAGCCAACCACCTCACGGACTTGCGTGACTATCATCAGCCGCCTGCGTACACGCCAGCACCTAACAGTTCCAGCTCAGAGCTTGCCGGCGTCCTTAAATTCCTGTGCCGCAAGGACCTTGTCTCTACAGGACTTACGAAGTTTGATGATCGACCTGAGAACTTTCGAGCTTGGAAGTCATCTTTCAAACGCATCATCAGAGATGTAGACCTTTCTGCGCAGGAAGAGCTCGACCTTTTAATCAAATGGCTTGGTCCTGAGTCATCGCATTAAGTCCGAAGGTTGAAATCTGTTTGGGTGGATGACTTCTCGAAGGGCTTGAACATCGTGTGGAAACGGCTCGACGACACCTTCGGACGTCCTGAGGCTATTGAGGATGCGCTGCTGAGGAGGTTGGAGGAGTTCCCAAGAATATCGTACCGGGATAATGCCAAATTGCAAGAGCTCGGAGACCTCCTGCTGGAACTCGAACCTGCCAAATCTGATCCCTACCTCGCCGGTCTTAACTATTTGGATAGCGCAAGAGGAATAAACAAAATTGTTTTCAAGTTACCATCTGGACTTCAAGAAAATTGGATGTCAGTGGGGACTAAATACAAAAAACAGAACAACACTCGTTCCCACCCTTTGCGGTTTTTTTTTCAAAGTTCGTTCAAGACCAGACAAGCATGAGGAACGATCCCAGCTTCATCCCGCAACCACAATATGTCTCGCCTTCGATCACACAGCGAAAAGAAGAAACGACCACCAAGACCCCCGCTGCACAAGTCATCTGTGTCAGCAAGAAAAACAAACGTAGATCACGCCT